GGGAGGGCCAGGCAGAGGGGGAGGGCACCGCCTGGGGAGGGCGGGAAGGAGGGGGAGGGCGCCGCCTGGGGAGGGCCCAGCGGAGGGGGAGGGCACCGCCTGGGGAGGGCCGGGAGGAGGGGGACACCCGCCGTGGGGAGGGCCTCGTGGAGGAGGGTGCTCTCAGCGCACTCGTCCTCTTGCTTCTCCCACCACCGGAGGCAAGCTCCCCTCCTCCCTTTCTGTTAAAGTCACATTAGCTAGTCTGAGACCTGTGTTCTTTAGTATATTTGAGAATTAGTTCCTTGAATTCCTTGAAAACATCCAACTCGATTTTTCCGTTTTTAAATAAAGTAACTTAGGTAAAATTCACGTAACATAATAATTAACCATTTTAACATAAACGATTCAGTGGCATTTAATCCGTTCACAGCGTTGTGCACCCACCACCTCTTTCTAATTCCAAAACATTTCCACTATCCAGAGTAACACCAGCCCCATTAAGCAGTCTCTCCTCCTTCCCGGACCCCCAGCCCCTGGCAGCCACCAACCTGCTTTCTGTCCCTATGGATTTACCTATTCTGGACGTTTCCTATCGATGGAGTCATACAGTGGGTGACCTTTTGTGTCTGGCTTCTTTCACTGAGCAGAGTGCTCTCCAGGTTCATCCATGTTGTAGGCTGTGTCAGTGCTTCACTCTTTTTTAGGGGAGAATAATATTCCACTGTCTGGATAGACCACATTTTGTTTACCCATTCTTACGTTGATGGACATTTGGGCTGCTTCCACCTTTTGGCTATTGTGAACAGTGCTGCTGTGAACGTGCGTGTACACGTATCTGGTTGAGGCCCTGTTTTCAGTTCTTTGGGGCATATGCCTAGGAGTGGAATTGTGGGGTCATACGGTAATTACATGCTTAACTCTTTGAAGAACTGCCAGATTCTCTTCCGCAGTGGCTGAAACATTTTATATTCCCTGTTCTAATTTCTCCTCATCCTCACCAACACCTCTTATTTTCTGGGGGTTTTCTTCTTCTTCTTCTTGCCGTCCTGGAAGGTGTGAAATGGCATCTCACTGTGGCTTTGGTTTGTGTTTCCCTAATGACTAGTGATGCTGAGCATCTTTTCACGTGCCTCTTGGCCTCTGTACATCTTCTCTTGAGAAATGTCTATTTAGGCCCTTTGCCCATTTTTAGTTGGGTTGTTTGTCTTGTTGTTGTTGAGTTGTAGGAGTTCTTTGTTTATTCTGGACACTAGACCCTGGTCAGATATATGACTTGGGAGAGGGGAGAGGAGAAAGCCAGCCCCCAAAGTAACCTTTTGATAGCCTGGAGGAGGTTTTGAGCTATGTGGAGGTGACGGTCCCTCTCCTCAACTGTGCAGAGCCCAGACCCAGAGGACAGCATGGGCCTGAGGGGACACTGGGGAGGGTGTGTCTCTTTCCCCCTGGGGAAGGCCTCGGGGGCGCCGGCCCTGGCGGTCATGCCACCCGTCGGGGTACAGACGGGAGTTGGTGATGGTGACAGCGGGACCTGGCTCACTTTCCTTCCAGTGATGGTCACTTGTGCCCCCGGCCATGGGGCACTTGCCTCAGCTCACGCCCCAGGGTCAGCCCTCCTCGAGGCACTGGGGAGGCTCCTCCCAGCCAGTGACCCCCAAGGGGCACAAGAGGGAAGGGACCAAACATACAGGGCGTCGTGCCATCAGCCCTGCTGTTAAGGCTGAAACGAGGCTTTCTTTGAACAGTGTCGGGAAGCAGGACACTGCCCAGGGGTGGCTGTGCCTGTGGGCGGGGGGGCTCGGAAGTCCCCTGAGACATGCAAATCGCCATTCATCATTCATTCATTCATTCATGATTTATTCATTCATTCGTGATTTATTCATTCAACAGTGAGTGGACTTGTGGGGCACCTGGCAAGTGGCGGGAGAAGTCTGAGTCCTGGGGACACAGCGGAGACAGGACAGACGAGTAAATGACCATATGGGCTGTGGTCAGTGCAGCAGAGAGGGACAAAGCAGGGGCTGCACAGAGTCTGCTTAGGTGCGAGCAGGAGTGAGGGCAGTGGGCGTTCAGTTCCTGCGGACAAGTGTTTCCCGCAGAGGCATGGCCAGCGTGTAAACGGTCCCTGGGACCGGGCCTCGTGGCGCTGGTGGGCGGGGGAGTGGGGTGAGAGTGTGTGGACGTCACACGTGGCGAGTTCACGCGGAGCGGGGCCGAGTTCCTGCGTCGGGGGTGTGCGGGGCAACCAGCACCCCGTCGTCTGATTCACAGCCGTCTCTGTCCTGGGGTTGGATGCTATCAAGCCTTTTTGAGATCCATTGCCATCACACATGGCCTGTCACGCTGACTTCTCCCACACTGGTCTCCCACGTGGACGCTGGGCGCGGGCTGGGGACAGGGGACTTGGCAGGTAAGACGGCCGGACTGAGCAGCCTTCCGGGAGCTGTGGGATGACGCACCAGTGTGAGACCTGGCTTCGAAAGACAGTGCACTGCAGAATGCCCCGTCTAGTGTCACCAGACCCCGTGGGGATGGCATTGGTCCCGTTTCACAGAGGTGAACATCAGCCTCCAAGGCAGGTCACCAACCTCCCGCCCGGTCCTTACCCTGAAGCTGAATTTCCTTCTCCCTGAGGTCAAGTTCTCCCAGAACCAGAGCTTCTGGACGAGCAGTTTGTGGAGTCTGGAAGAGCACGTTTGGTTAGGGCTGAGCCCCAACACGCGCTCCATTCCTACGTGCGACGGGATTGCCTCTCCCTGCCGCTTCTCCCTGGCCTGTGAGCCCCCAGGATGGGGGCCCTTCTGGTCGTCCAGCAGCCGTGGGCGCTCCCTGATGGCTGTGCAGGAATGTCCCAGGCTCCCCATGAGCTAGCCATTACGGGCTGTAACCAGGTGCTGTCAGATCTGCCGCCATCCCTGGGGCTGGGAAGGGAGTGAGTCACTGGTCATTCATTTTACCTCTGGGACCAACAAAGAAACTGACACAGAGAATAAGAATGTCTGAACCTGAAGGGACCGTCCAGTGTAGGCCTGAAGCCCACACGAGTAATCTTGCCATCCCTACCCGCTCTGTTTGCTTGATGTATGGCGTCTTTCTTGGAAGAGTCACTTCAAAGCCAGCCAGGCCAGCAGGCACTGCACCTCCCCCAGGGTCCCCTGGCCTTCTGCTTGTTCTAGCCCAGCTCCGAGGTGGCCACCTCCCTTGGGAGTGGGGCAAGGGCTGGCTGGGAGCACCGGGCCCACAGTGGAGCCAGTGCCTGAGGCAGAGTGTCACTGAGGCGGGGCATGGTTCCCCATCCCCCAGGCCTCTGGCCTTTCCATATCCGTCGGCTGAGCCAAGGTCTCTCGGGAAGAGACGCTGGCAGCAGTGGGGGTCACCCCAACCTCCAGACCCATGTCTGTCCCTGAAGAGCCATACCTTTCCCTTCAGCCAAGTTCTGGCTCTCACCTGCGGGTACTCAGAGCCGTTGGGGTCCTGGGGCTGGCTGCTTGGCCCTGAAGACGAATGGAGGAGGCCACCGTGCCTGGCCCCGGGCCAGGCACGCCCAGCTGCAGCGTGAAGAGAACGAGCCCTTCCAGGGCCTTTGGGTGACCTCAGGGCACAGGCCCAGAGCAGGTGTGGCCTTGGGTCCCTGGGTCCTGGACTGTGGAAGTCGGCTGCCTTTCGGAATCACTGTGCCAGGGCCACGGGGCACGCCGTTCCTGGACGCCTTCCTGAGTGACGCGGGTGCTTGGGGCTGTTTCTGAGCCTCATTTCTGTGCAGTAGAAGCCTGGTTTCCCTGGACCTGCCGCCCACCTGGCTTTGGGGGGCCCCTGACTTCCCTGCTCAGAATCCCAGGGACCAGTTTGTGTACATCTTCAGGTGGCACCTGCCTCTGCGCAGGGTCCTAAGGCAGTGCGCACACCGTGGCCGTCCTTGGGGTGGGGCTAGGCGCCCCTGATGGGCTCACAGATGGAGCACGTGCAGCGTCTGGGCTGCTGCCTCCCACGGCGAATGGAGCAGATCAGCTCCCTCCAGACACTCGGGAGGGCGCACGGCCTGTGGGTCCCCAGGCGTCTAAGCGGTCTGGGCCCCTGTCTTGTCCACAGTCCCGGAGGTCCTGCAGCTCAGCGACACCCTGCGGGACGACATCCTGCCTGAGCTCGGGGTGCGGTTTGAAGATCACGAAGGTGGGTCCTCTGCAGCCGCTTCTGGGGACTGTTGTAAGGGGCTCTGGATGTGACGGGCGGGAGGTGGGAAGGACGCTGGGGTGGGGCGTGGCTTTTGAAAGGGCCACAGGAAGAGTGGGATGGGGTGCGAGGGCGCTGTGTTGTCTGTCTGATGAAGAATCCCAGGGGAGTTCCCCGTGGTCCCCGGGGGGGCCTTATGGTTCACCTTCTTAGGCATCATTGCCAACACCTCCTGTGTGTGAATGGCATTTGGGTGTCCACTCCTGCGGCCTGACTGCCCATCACCCATGTTTCTGCTGGGCGCTGCCCGCCTTTTCTTACAGTCTGTCCCTTAGCAGACAGCCTGTGTCGTACCAATGGTTGGCGAGTTTCACAGCTTGTCTTTCAACTTTATGGAGGTTTTGCCTGCACTGAAAATTATTCAATTTTGAATACTCAGATGACATGTCTTATTTGATGACTTCTAGGTTTTCTGTCATGAGTGGCAAAGCCTTCCCACATCACGATTTATGTTTAACCTATGTGAGCTGTCAGGAAGGGGCCATCTGCTGCTCTCCAGGGCCCTAGGGGCAGCTGTGGGGAGATTGGTGACGGCCCTGGGCCTGGGGACCGCTGAGGTGGGGCAGGGCAGGGCCGGGCCGGGCCGGCAGGGAGGACGGACTCCAGGTCTACATCTAACAGACTGTTGCTTCTCAGGACTTCCCACTGTGGTCAAGTTGGTGGACAGAGACACCTTATTGAAAGAGAGAGAAGAAAAGAAAAGGGTGAGTAAGATTAAAATGACTCAAGTGATGTTTATGGGGCATGGGAAAACCCCGGGGCCCACCCGCTTTACCTTGTGGGAGGTAGTGTTTATGCTTTCTTACAATCCCAGTATTTACAAAAGTCGGAAGGAAAAATTAACGAGATAGGAAGCTACCTGGCAATATGGTGACAAAATATCTTCTAATGAAAGCTCTCTTTTTAAAAAATTATTCTCCAACTTTAAGGGAAAAGCAGTCCCTTTCAGTAAACCGTGAAGCTGACATGTTTGGTCACCCCGTGCTCTCACCTGAAGTGGTGTCTCCTTTGTTGCTTGGGTAGAACGTGTCCCCGTCACGCCTCTGTCTGTGCCCGTCCTTCCCAGTGTCCCAGACATCACTGCAGTCCCCACGTAGCTGGGGACTGAGCCGGGTCCTGGGGCCCACAGGGAGTCGGGGTAGTCCCTGCTCTCAACCTCTCTCTGGGTCCCCCAGAGAGAGAAAAACAGGAACAGAAACACGCAGTTTGTGTCAGAATTGCTGTGGGGCGGCAGCTGGTAAGAACAGAGGCACTGACCTCCTGGCCCACACAGGCAGCGTGGGGCAGGCACTGCGGGGCGTGTACCACAGAGCTCTGCCACCTCCAGGGGTGAGGGGCCCTTAAAGAGGAGACCCCCATAGAGGGCGAGTCTGGGAGACCAGGAAGGGCCTCGGTGGACATCCAGAAAGTGGAACTGACAGAGTTGGGGGGCTGGTCAGAGCAGAGGAGTGAGACCGCTGCCCACCAGGGAGCCGTGTGCAGGGGATGGCTGATGGGAGATGCAGGCGTGGCTGCCAGGAGGAGCTGTTCATGAGGCACGACAATTAACCAGCTTGGAACACCAGGAAAAGTTCGGGCAGAATTAGACTGGTGAACTGCCTGTGGATTTGTCATAGTTGGAAAGTTCCAGGAGCTGGGACTTGCCTGCCATGGAGCGCCGGTTTGGCCTCCCCATCGAGGCCCTTCTCAGCCCCTCATTTCCATCATGTTCAGTCACCCCAGCTTTGTGTTGGGCTCTCCCCTCTCCTCGGGCACCACAGCCCGCAGCCCACCATGGCCCTTCCACGGAGGCGACATGCGGCTGGTTGTGCCTCTTGCCCCCCACGCCTGACTAAGAAACAGACACCACTGCTCCCCGCTCTCCCCCAGAGCCTCTGCCTCCTGGGAGTGCTCGCTCAGGGCCAAGGCCACGCAGTGTAGGCTCTGTTCAGGCGGAGGGGAGCCACCCCGCCCACCATGCTTCTCTCCCTGCTGGCCCTTTCACTGGCCCCAAGGCCTTCGAGGGAGGAATTCGGCCACTGCGGTGGCAGCTTGTGCCTTCCTTCCAGAAGCTCATGTTTCTTGACCAAGGAATCTCTTCCCAGCCAAACTTGCCCTGAGGAAGCCCCCCAGGGCTGCAGGAGGTGGAGAGGGGGTCCTGGGCGAGCACAGGGCCCTCGGTGCCCAAGGCCCTGGTCGCCCAGACCATTCTGGCCGCACCCCTTATAGACAGTGTCTCCTTCCCCCCGCAATAGTCCCACCAGCGGATAAACACATCCTGTCTTTAAAAGAAAAAGCAAAAATCCTTAGCACTTGACTCTCCGCTTCCTGAGCTCCAAGGGGCGTCTTCCTCCTTCCTCCCCACTCTCAGCCTCTCGGTGGCCGCCATCACCACCGCTCTTGTCATGCTCTCCGGTGACTGTCACCTGGGCACATCCCAGTGTGGCCCTATCTCGTCTCCCTCGGCCTGTCATGAGCCTTTCACCCCTGCTCTCTGGGACCCCCTCCGCTTCCCCCACCCCACTGGCCGTGCCCCTGCCTCACTGGCCCTCCGCTTCCCTGGCACTGGCCCTCCCTAGGTGGCCTCACCAGTCCCACAGCTTCTCTCCCATCCACCTGCCTGTGACCCCCAAGTTCCCTCTGGCCCCAGACTTGCCTGTAACCAGATTCCTGTGTCCAGCCACCTGCCCGAGAGCTCCGCTTCCCAGAAGTGCCTGAAAGCCTGGCTGTCCAAGAGGGACTCCTGATGTTCAGCTCCCCAAACCCCGTCCTCCTTCCTGTCAGCAGTGGCATGTTGTTCACGCGGTGGTCTGAGCCAAACCTCCTGAGGCAGCCTTGGGCCTCCCCCTCTCACGGGCACCCAAGCTGAAGGCTCCCCCTCCCCACCCCTCCTCTCTGTGCCAGCCACCCTCACCCCCGCGCCCTGGCCCCTGCCCGATGCTGCGTGCCGGGTGGGACGTGGGCCCCGGGCCTCCACCCCATCTCCTGCAGCCCTTCTCCACCGCCCTTCACCTCGGAATTAACCCAGGCTCTTTCCCTGGCCCCCATGCCCCCATGCCCTGGCACTTGCTGACCTCTGCCCCCCTCTCCCATCTTCCCCAGGCACCCGTGACCTGCTCTGGGTCAGGCCTCACCACTGTCCCTGGTCACTTCCCCCAGCCAGGCTTGTCCCTCTGCTTGTTTCTTCGTATTAGCTGTTCCCTGGATCTTCTAGCCTGTGCTGTCTGCTCACTGCCGCCGGGTGTCCAGAGCAAGGCCCGGCACCCAGGGGGCCCCTGAGCCTGTCCACAGGGAATGCACGAGGGTCCCTAATGGATAATGACTCGCCCCGTGCGCTGCCTGAGCCCCCTCCTCCCCGCACACAGGCCATCTTCCTCCATGGGGCTGGTGGTCAGAGTCCAGTCACAGGGCCAGGCCATGGGGGACAGCAAGGGCTTGTTTTATTTCACCTCCCACCCCGAGAGGGGCCGACCTGGCTCATGGGGCCGTTTGCTGTTTCCTTAGGCTGAAGAAGAGAAGAAGAAGAAGAAAGAGGAGGCAGCCAGGAAAAAACAGGAACAAGAAGTAACGCGTGTTTGTTTGTTTGGGGCGGGGGGCGGTTCTCCTGGGCAGAAATGCACACTTTGACCCCATGCCCTGCTCTCTGTGCCTCCTTGAGGCCCGGCCAGGCACCCTCTCTGCCTCCGTCCACCAGCGGTGCCCTCCCAGGTCCTCCCCACATGTCCCCACATGTGCCTGCGGGGAGGCCAGGAGTCCCTGGGCGAGGGAGAGACCGGGCTGCAGGCAGCTGCCCTCTGCCTGGGTACAGGCCCCAAGGCGGCTCTCAGGCTCAATACTGTGCTGCTGCGGCCACTCTGGACGGCCTCCCACTGTCCCTGTAGACCAAACGTCAGTGCCGTTTGAATCGTCCCTCGTTTGGCTCCCCTTTCCCCTGGTTTCTCCCCTCCCGTCCTCTGGAGCTCTCTGGACTGGGGGGCTGGGGGTGGGAGGCAACGTGCACACTCCGCAGTGGTGACCACGACTCTGTTCCAGGCGGCAAAGCTGGCCAAGATGAAGATCCCGCCCCACGAGCTGTTCCTGTCAGAGAATGACAAGTACTCCAAGTTCGATGAAAACGTAAGGATTCCTTTTCTTCTTTGCAGAACTTGGTGAGACCACTAAACTGGGGTGACAGGAATTTCCAGCCTTGGGCGAGCAGAGTTTCTGTTTGGGGTGCGATCAGAAGGGAGGCAGGATCATCTGGCGCCTGTTGTAGGTCCAGTGCCTGCGCCCGGATGCCCAGGGCCGCCTCCCTCCATCGCTCCCTCCCTCCACCCCTGCGGTCAAGTGGCCTCTGGCACCGGGCACCGTGGCTGGGCTGAGCTGAGAATGATGGAAACTGGAATCTGCAGGGTCTGTCCCTCACAAGCCGGCAGACGTGCCCTGGTGTAGATGTGTCCACTGTCCCCAGGGGCCTTCGTTGCAGCCGTTTGCGGCCGCTTTCCCTCTGCACCCCCAGGCCCTCCTCACTGGGTCTTGTGTGTATTGGCTACATCCTTCTGAGCCATTTCAACCGTGACGGGGAGAGTGCCCTTCACCCGCTAGGCGGGAGGGGGCCCCCAGACGGGTCACTTCCCCGCGGCTGGGACAGGGGCTGCCACATCGGGGACCTGGACCCAGAGCGTCGTGGTGAGTAGGCGCCAGGCAAGTGGATGCACCCCGGTCAGCGAGCTGAGCGCTGTGGGCCCGAGGGCCCCCGCTGACCATCCGTGCCCTCGCTGTTTCAGGGCCTGCCCACGCACGACGCGGAAGGCAAGGAACTGAGCAAAGCGCAAGCCAAGAAGCTGAAGAAGCTCTTGGAAGCTCAGGAGAAGCTGCACAAGGGGTATCTGCAGATGCTTCCCAGCGGAGGCCTCCACGAGGGGGCAGGGGACTGAGTTACCACACTGCCGTCCATGGCCTGATGGCTTCCTCTGCCGCAGTGGTGACCGTGCCCCGTGCTCTGGTCGTGTTTACAGTGGGCCTCGGGTCCTAAATTAAGAATTCTGTTCCTCGAGGTCCGTGCCGTCGTCGGCTCTGAGGCGTCAGTAATAAATTCTTCCCAACAGCGAGGCCGGGCGCTCTCTCTGCCGTCGCCCTGCACGGTCAGCTGTGCGGGGGGGCCCGCCTGGCGGGCTGCTTGCTCAGCAGGTCACAACTTAGGTGCTCAGGTCAGTTGAGCCGCTTCAGCCAGCCGAGAAATTTCTCCCCCATGCAGATCGCTATCGGCTAATCTCTGGTATGTGGGCGCATTTGAAGGTATTTGAGTAGGAAAAAGACAGGCTCAAGCTGGCAGAACCCACTGACGCCCCACACAAAGGCTGCTCAGTCAGCCCCTCCAGTTCTGATGAATAAACACACTGCGGAGTCTCCCCCAGCAGGTCAGCACTCGGGCACCAGCAAAGGGCTGGCTCCACAGGGCGGGCCTGGGCAGCTGCCCGGCACTGCCGCTCACGGCTGTGAGCCCAGGATCTGCACTGCTGACCGTTGAGATACGGGGGGAGGTCTCGACACAGCACGGCAGCCATTTGTCACCGGGTCCCAGCATGGGGAGTGTGTCCTCACCCCCTGCTCACCCATTTTTACTCACTGGGCTAAGAATCCCCACCTGAACTCACGCCTGACCGTCGTTGAGTGAGGAGGGTGAGAGCAGAGCCAGTCCCCGCCTCAGCCTGCGAGAGCTTGGAGGTAGATCAGGTCCATCAGGACAAATGGTAGAGTCACCGGTGCTGGGGCACTCAGGTTGGGAAACACCGCCCGCTTCTCATGCGTCAGGGTTGGGGGGATGGCAGTGCAAAGCGACACCACCCCCACGGGGGAGTGCAGTGGTGTCCCAGTGTCATTGTAGACGCGCTCACCCTTGGCCCCTGCAATCCCACTTGTGGGAGACTGTCTGAGAGACACACCTGCACAGGTGTGCAAGGAGGTGCACACGCTGCTACTGCAGCACCGCTTCGCGAGGCCCGCGGGAGCCAGCCCGCTGTCTGTCAGCCCGGCACGTGGTGCCACCCGGGAGCACCCCCAGTCACACGTGGGGCACAGGGCTCTGAGACCATGAGGACAGGCTCTGGTATTGGTATGTCTGACTTTTGGACCTTCAAATGTTTTACAGCCAAAAAAAATTAAACCAGTAAGAAAAGCCCTAAAACAAAGTGAAACAAACTCGTTCCATTTAGCTATTGTTATGTGCAAATCACCCCACAACTTAGTAGCTGCAAATGACAGTGGTCATCTTATTATTGACTCTGGTGGTTCTGGGTTGACTGGGCTCGGCTGGCCTGTTCTCGGTCAGGGTCTGCCCCCTGGGCGCAGTCAGATGGTGAAGGTTGGCCCGCCCGCGCCTGGGTCCTGGGCTGGGAGACTCGCAGCTGGGGCTGCTCGGGTGTGGTCTCTCCAGCTTGGCAGCTTCAGCCTGGCAGCCCATAGCTCCGAAGGTGTGTGTCCCAAGGGAGATAGAAGCTGTGTGTCCCTTTGGGATCTAAACTCAGAAGTCACAGTGTGACCCATTGTCCTCAAGTGGAGGCCGTCCCAGAGGCCCACCCACACTCGAGGGGAGGGGGCACAGACACCTCCCTGTTGGTTCCGGAAGAGTGTGAGGGGCTGGGGATGTCATTGCAGCAATTTCGGAAGGTACCATCTGCCACAAAGCTGTCAATCAAATCAGTGAGGAAAGGGCTCCTTCAACTGATTAGAGGACTCACCGCCTTGCTGTGCATCTTTAGTGGGGTGTATTCGAGGCCAAAACGGTGCAGAGAAGTCAAACTTAATCCAGTTGTTTTGTTGTTAGTGATAATATTGGCATTGTTATCCTTAAGCTCAATGTTGTGGGACAAAGCAAATAAGTGTATTGATGGCAATAACCCAGGTTTTAATGTAAGAAAAAAATATAAGTATAAAATCAAAGAAGTTAAGGAAAATCACTACACTGTTGAATATGAATTGGAAAAAACAATGTGACTACACTTGATTTTTGAACAATAGGTATTTCCTGGCTGTGGAGACTGAGAGGGCCAAGCCCGGTCACCATGAGCACCCCAGAGCCAGATTCGAGGCTCTGAGTGCCATCCCCGTCCTTGGAGAAATGGCCCACCCTAGGTCTGGAGCAGAAGCACAGGGAGACCCTGGGCCATCTGGGGCCGAAAGGGAAGCTTTCAAAGACCAGTGGAGTCATGTCCAAAGGTCACAGCACAAACTAGTGACACAGCAGCTGGATGGACCTCGGGCATCGGGCAGAGTGGAAAAGCCAACCTCCAAGGGTCACGTGTTGTATGAGTCCATTTAGATGACATTCTCGAGATGCCAAACTCTAGGGATAGAGAGCAGAGTCGTGGGTGCCAGGGGTCAGGGTGGGGTTGAGTAGGAAGGGCGCTGGGAGGGCGTCTTGTGGTGCAACAGTTCTGGGCCTCGATGCTGCGGTGCTGCAGGAATTGACGCCTGTGATGACGTGCCGCAGAGCCGCACGCACACGCTGCCCAGTGCTGGTCCCCTGGGCTGATCTTGTGCTCTAGTTGCCAAGAGGTGGCCATCTGGGGACTGCATGGAGGGCACACGGGACCACGCTCTACCACAACTTCCGGGGATTTCTACTTATTTCAAAATAAAAAGCGTCAGGAGCTTCCAGTGGCCAAGTCTGGGACAACTCAAGCTTTGGAAAGAAGGAGTAATTGAAATGCAGGCATCAAAGAAAGCCAAGAAATAATCATCTGTCACCACTGGTGGGGGCAGCTCTGTACTCTACAAACTTAGTTATAAGTCGCAGAATTAAGCATTTCTCCTCCTTCCATAGGAACTGTATTTCAGGGCCACCAAATGGCCCCCGCTGTGGGGGAGGGCTGCTCCTCAGCCAACAGTGCCGGCTAATAGCAGTGGACGGTGGCCGGATGAGACAGCCTCCGTTCTGCAGCCCCGAGTGAAACACTGAATCGGGCCAGGACTGTCAGCAGATGCTGAGTCCCCTGGTGAATGTGGGTGGGACCTGGCTATTTTCATGGTGCCAAAGTGTCACCTTGCAGGTGGCTTGTAGGTCACGGGGGGCCTGGGGAGGTGTGCATGTCACGTCACAATGCCGGGCTCTGCCCGTCACCCCCTTCCTTCCCCAGGTCAGCATAGTCTGGAGAGGGACAAGCCGAGCTGAGGTGTCCCCTGCTGGCGAGAGCCTAGCCTCACCTGCACAGAGAAGTCTTTCTGCTAGAAACATACAGGCGGTATAGAATGAAGCCGCTGCCTGCCCAGGGCCTTGTTGAAACGCAGACTCTGGTCTCTCTGATTTGGGTGGGGCTGCAGATTCTGCATTTCCTCCTACCTCCCAGGTGTGACACACATGCCGCTGGCCCAGGGGCCCCACCTGGAGGGGCGAGGCTGTCCATCTCACTTCCTGTTGACAGAAAGTACTGGGGATGGAGGCATGGGCAGGGACTCATCCAGAAGAGCCTGAGCTGGCATCTTCAAGGAGTCCCTGTAAACGGGGGGAGGATGGGGTAGAGGACACAGACCTGACTGGGAGAGACTCACACAAAACCGCCACAACCCTTTTATGAACCTTGACTGGTTTTTTTTTTTTTTTTTTTTAAAGATTTTATTTATTTATTTTTTCCCCCCAAAGCCCCAGTAGATAGCTGTGTGTCATAGCTGCACATCCTTCTAGTTGCTGTATGTGGGACGCGGCCTCAGCATGGCCGGAGAAGCAGCGCGTCGGTGCGAGCCCGGGATCCGAACCCGGGTCGCCAGCAGCGGAGCGCGCTCACTTAACCACCAAGCCACGGGGCCGGCCCCACCTTGACTGGTTTGAACAAACCCACCACAAAGTCATTTGGGGAGGTTTGCCTATGGACGGAGTATGGCAGGATACTAGGAATTTTTGTTAATTTTGTTAATATGATTATGGCAGTTGTGTCTACAAATGTCCTCAATTAGGGACGCAGTTGCCTGAGGCCTATAACTCAGTATTCTTCAGCCAAGAAAACTGAGGAAGCAAATCATGCACAATGCTCCTGGTCACATCTAAGTGGGGGGCGTCTGTTCCACAGCTTATCCTCTCTGCTCTTCTGTGTTTGAAACTTCGTGATCAAATGTTCTTTAAAACATGCTGCCAGGAAATCCTCTCGTCTTTGGTGAAGGACGTGAGCCCTGCCCCGCTGCTGCAGAGGACCGGGGAGCGGGAGTTTGGCCTCCCCCTGGACACTTGGAAAGCCAGGGTGCCTGGAGGAGGTGGGCCGGGGGCCAGGCTGCGGCCTCTGGCTTCATGCCCCCAGGAGGTCCGCTCGGGCAGCCTGGTGAGGAGCATCCTCACTGTCCCACTCTGCTCTTGGCCTTTGCACCCTCACAAGCTGCAGCAGATCCTTCTGGAACAAGATGGGGTGGAAAATTTTTGTAACTTGTATAATATTAATTCGCCTGTGAAAAGTGTTTGTGTTGTGTGCATGAAGCCTGTTTCCAGCTTTAAGAGCCAGATTTGTCTTCCTACTCTCCCCAAAGAGAAATCTTATGTGTTTTCATTATAAAAATATCACAGATTCACTATTTGAAAATCAAATCATGCAGGGGCCAGCCTGGTGGCATAGCAGTTAAGTTCGTGGGCTCCGTTTCGGCAGCCCGGGGTTCACAGGTTTGGATCCCGGGTGCAGACCAATGCGTTGCTCGTCAAGCCATGCTGTGGCGGCGTCCCATATAAAGTGGAGGAAGATGGGCATGGATGTTAGCCCAGGGCCAATCTTCCTCAGCAAAAAGAGGAGGATTGGCAACGGGTGTTAGCTCAGGGCTGGTCTCCCTCACAAAAAAAAAAAAATCACACAGAAAATTACCAGTATAGGGACTGAGCGTCCCTGTAAGGCCACCTAAGAGAGCCTGTAGCAGTTGGGGAATAGTCTCCCAGACTCCTTTCTTCCGAGGGTGTGAGGTTTACAGATACACTCCGTGTGGTGCGTCCCTCTCTTTGCATGGAATATACCGTGGATATTTTCTTTTTTAAACTTTTCTGCTTTATTTATTTGTTTTTTTTTTTAACATCCATGCCAATCCTCCTCTTTTTGCTGAGGAAGACTGGCCCTAAGCTAACATCTATTGCCAATCCTCCT